CCCACGGTCCCTTCTGTTAATTCCAAAAGTCTTTTTGTCTACTTTAAATATTTCTCTTAACTCTACATACGAAAACTAGGAGAAGCCAACTCCCTCTGCAGTCAGCTGATCTCTTGGCTTCACCTTGTATTATCCCAGTACTTCTTCAAAAAAATCTTAATATGTTAACCATTTCTCTTTGTCTGCTCTTTCTTTGCCATAAAACCCTTCCTGTGCCAAGACCCACAAAGGCGTTTTCAGGCACGACCTGTGTTTCTATCTATTCCGTATTTATTTGAGATTTGTTTCTTAAATTTATTTGCGCCCATCTCACCATAGGGCTACTCTAGGCGGCTGATAATAAAAGAAACAAAAATGAAGGGCAGGTAAACGGAAATGTAAAATAGTAGAATAATAAAATAACCAACAAAAAAAATCCGAAAAGCGTTTTTTTTCCCAAAAAGCAACTGGACTTTTGTTTTTTCCTTGAAGACGTTTCGCTTCTCATCCAAGAAGCTTCTTCAGTTCTGACCAAGTGTTGGAGGATGGAAGGATTTATACTCCTTGCAGACAGCTGGCCATTAGCACTTTCTCTGAGAGTCGCTAGGCCGCTTGAAGGTTTATCTATGCCAGGGGTCTTCAAACTTGGCCCTTTTATGACTTGTGGACTTCAATTCCCAGAATTCCTGAACCAGCACAGCTGGCTGAGGAATTCTGGGAGTTGAAGTCCACAAGTCATAAAAGGGCCAAGTTTGAAGACCCCTGATCTATGCCCTCAGAGTCACCTGAATAACCCAGGACATTTCTCCTAAAGTTCATCTAAAATCTACCTCAGAAGACAGAAGTGTCCAGAAAGAGAGGATGGAGTCAACAACCAAGATGGCGGCTGTTTAAAAGGGCATCACATATAAAGCTAAAAAGCAGCAGGACTCTGCAGAGTGTGGCACAATTTGACTGCCATCTTGATTTTTTTGACATCCCTCCCCGTCCATGCCCTGAAAACAGTCCCCTTGATTATTTTGAACAATAATTTTATTAAAGATTATATTCGCAGACCAAACAAAGAAACTTAATACAAATGTGTGTGTGTGAAGATATGAAAAAGACACTGGGAAGAAAAAAGAAAATCCCTCCCCCAAAAAAAGATAGGAGGAAAAAGAAACTTTCCCTCTTCTTCCTCAGCCAGAATATATTCAACATCAATACTTTATCACTAAACAACCAGATGCATCTTTGTTCCACCCCTCCCCCATTTTCTCCTCTAAAATTTCAGTTCTCACTGATCAACAAAGGCCTAGTAAAAAAAATAACAAAAATACCTGGGTGTCTTGACTCATGACTATAACAACTTATGACTGGAAATCCATTCCCAATTGTAGTCATACGTCAAGGATTACTTGTATTTTGCAAAACATTGTATATACTCCCCACACCCTTATAATAAGGTGACCAATCGTCCTCCTTTAGGAAGAACAGTTCTTCTTTTGTACTCATTTAAATAATAATAGGCATGTAAGCATAATTACAATATAAAATGTTATTGTTACAAATGTTTTTTATTATGCATTTATATAGTGTATTCTGTATTGTTGCAATGAATAAAATGTTTTATTTACGGTATTTTTTTCTTCAACTTATTTGTGTCCTCCTCATTGTAAAAAAGTTGGTCACCTTATAACACCGCGGGCGGTGTTGGGGGGGACTCGGCGCTCCCACGTGACACCGCTGCTGCGCGAGCTGCATTGGCTGCCTGTGGCCTTCCGGGTGCGCTTTAAGGTGTTGACTATCATCTTTAAAGCGCTCCATGGCATCGGACCCGGATATCTTCGAGACCGCCTCCTGCCGCAGAGTACCTCCCATCGACCGGTACGCTCCCATANGCTCTCCTGGCGAAATAAAACTTTCCCCACATTTAGAGGATAGCTCTCTTTTGTGCCATTTCTGGTGTCTCTGAAGTTCATAAGAAAACATAAATCGTTTCTCACATGCCAGACATTCATAGGGTCTCTCTCCGGTGTGAAGTCTCTGATGTTGCACCAGGCTTGATTTCCAGGTAAAACACTTCCCACATTCAAGGCATTTTTCCTTTTTCTCCCCTCTGTGTGTTTTCTCATGACTCCGAAGAGATGAACTCAGGGTGAAAGATTTTCCACACTCAAAGCATTTGTAAGATTTTATTCCTGCATGAACCTTCTCATGGACCCAAAGACTGGCGTTCTGAGAAAAGCTCTTCCCACATTCCCAACACTTGTAAGGTTTCTCCCCCGTGTGAAGCCTCTCGTGGTTTCTGAGATGGGTTTTTTGACGGAAAATTTTCCCACATTCCAGACACTGATAAGGTTTCTCTCCAGTGTGGATTTTCTGATGTGTAAGAAGACTTGACTTTTGACCAAAGCATAAGTCACATTCCTCACATTTATAGGGTTTTAATTTGGGGGGGCTTCTAAGATCTTTGGGGTTTTTTCCAGAGAAAAATTTTTCACCCTCCAAACCTTCACTGGATCCGCTTCCCACATGGACCTTCCTGTGGGTCAAAAGGAGGGACCGGCGAGCGAAGGATTTCCCACACTCTGAGCATTCATGGGTTCTTTTGTGGTTTTTCAGAGTGCTGCTTGTGTCTGATGGGGGATCCAAGAGTTTCCCGCCCTCCATGAGTTCTGGCAGCTGCTGCCTTGTTCCGATTTTCTACTATCTCTTGAAAGGTGACTTGCAGGTGAATCTTTGCTCAGAGTTGTTTCCCTGCTGGTGGAAAAAAAAAGAAAATGAGAATAGCATTTTTTTTTTGAGGAAGACTGAGAATCACAAAAACATAGCTTTAGAAGTGCCGCCTGGGGAAGAAAGGCATTTGGAAAAACATTTCGAATTATGTAAGTCAGACTTCTGGCCATCAGCTTGTCGTGATACCTGATAACAAGACCAGCCTCAAAACTTCCATAAAACCTGTCCTTTTGTAAAACATCCATCAACAACGGGCTGCCACAACACAGCCCCTTCAAGGAAAAGCAAAGGAAAATTTTGGTTTTTAGAGCTTCTTCTACCCAGCTTTGTCAAGGAACAGCTAACTAAACATGAGCATAAAAATAAAGACTACTCATCCCTATTCTTTTACATTAAGTCAGTGGTTCTCAACCTGTGGGTCGGGACCCCATTTGGGGTCAATCGACCATTTCACGGGGGTCGCCAAGCAAGGCTGTCCGCCATTTTGTTTGCCCGCCATTTTGTTTGTCCGCCATTTTTTTCCCATTTTCCGGCTGATGCCTTACCTCCCTTGGGCTGGGCCAGCTGGTGGTTGGCCTGCTCCGTCTCTGCCGCTTGCCAGCTACGCCTCGGCCAGTGCAGGGGGCGGAACCACGTATGCGTGGCGCTTCCGGGCAGGGAAAGTCCTCCACTTACGACTGGTTGGGTAGTCCTCGACTTACGACCGGTTGGGGTCATGACATTAAAAAGATTGAGAACCACTGCATTAAGTAGAAAGAAAAAAGATCTGAGATGATAGCACTGTTCCAATATTGGAGGGGCTACCACAAGGAGGAGGTGTGTGTGTCAACCTATTCTACAAAGCATCCGAAGGCAGGACAAGAAACGATGGATGGAAGCTAATCAAGGAGAAAACCAGCCTAGAGATAAGGAGAAATTTCCTGACCGTCAGAATAACATTTTGGAGAAGTGGCAGGGTTGACAATAAGAAAAGAGAAAAGACCAAAGTGCTAACAAAGAATTTAACAGAAAAACAAAAAAAATCAACAAAAAAAATCTTCAAATAGTTAAAAAAGTCAAGTACTTGGGAATTTATTTAACAGCAAGATGTGTAACAGTAAAAGAAGATAATTATGTATGATTGCTAAAACAAAGTTGTATTTGGAAAAGTGAAAGAACCTCCAACTTTCAATGTTGGGGAGAATAGTAACAGTGAAAATGAATATCTTACCAAAAATACTCTTTTTATTTCAAACGATCCCTGTAAGGCTGGGAAAAGCCTTTTTTGATGAACTGAATACAATAATATTGAAATTTATCTGGCAAGGAAAAAAAGCTAGAATCATAGTGAAAATGCTACAAGAAGTAAAAGACAGTGGAGGATTTGGACTGCCGGACTGGAGGCTATATTACCAAGCAACCATTCTAACATGGCTTAAAGAATGGATAATACTTAAAGATAAAAGACTATTGTACCTAGAGGGGCATGACCTGCAAATCGGTTGGCATGCCTTTCTGTGGTATGGAAAGAATAAAATACATAGATACTTTCAAAACCATTTTATAAGGAATGCATTTCTTTCAGAATGGGAAAGAATAAAAGAAAAAAGTTACATTAAAATACCCGAATGGCTTTAAACAATGGAAGCATTTGCTTACCCAAATTTAATTAACTAAGATAAAGTTGTGACTTATAAAGATATTTTGGACAATGAAGGAAAACTGAAAGACAGACAAGAGTTACAAGAACAAGGTATTGATTTAGCATGGTGGCCATATCTGCAAATTCAAACAAGATATGAAAAAGATGTTAAAACAACGGGATTTTATAAAGAACAGACAGACTTTGATCAGATACTATTAAAAGCAGATGAAAAGTTGATTAAGAAACTCTAATAGATTTCTGTTAAACTTAAAGATGGAGGAAGAACAAGTAAAAGAAACAATGATAAAATGGGCAAAGAATTTTGGATATAATATAGAATTAGAAGATTGGCAAAAGTTATGGGAAATAAAAATAAAATTAACTAAAGCAGGGCAATATAAACAAAACTTATATAAAATGTTTTACAGATGGCATATGACACCAGTGAGATTAGCAAAAATGTTTTAAAATACATCAAACAACTGTTGGAAATGTAATTTCCAGGTACTTATTACCATATCTGGTGGACATGCCCCAAAGAAAAAAGACTTTGGGTTAAAATACATTTATAGTTGGAGAAAATAACCCAAAAACAAATAGACTTCAAACTAGAATTATTTTTGTTAGGAATAATAGGAGCTAATTATGAGAAAGATTGTAGATATCTAATACTGCACATATTAACGGCAGCAAGAATGGTATTTGCCCAACATTGAAAAAATGAAAACTTATCAACTGAAGTACTAATTAAGAAAATTCTAGAGCAGACATGTCAAACACAAGGCCTGGGGGCCGGATGCGGCAAAGTGGTTTCATGTGGCCCGCGAAGCCATCCTGGAAACAGTGAGGGAACGGCCCCCGCTGCCTTGGCCCTGGCCCAGACCGGCCGGGAGCCAATGTACAATTTTATGGTAGCCATCTATGCTGAAATGCATTCAGTCTTAGCTCCACAAGGCCGTCTGGAAACAGTGAGGAACCAGCCCCTGCCGTGTCAGCCCTGCCCCCTGGGTGCATGCTGGGGAGGTGTCACCCTTTGTGAGGAATGAAGAAATGGACCATGCCTTGGCGCTTGCCCCGGTCCCACCCCCTTCTGCCAGAGACCCTCAGATCTGTCCCACTCCTGCCCAGGCCCCCATAGGCACCCTTGACGCGAATGATGTAGAACTGGCCACGCCCACCCAGTAGGCCACACCCACCCTGGCCACCTCCCCCCCAGGGCAACTGCAGAAATTGAGTTTGACATCTCTGCTCTAGAGTGTGCAGAAATAGATAGAATGACTTTAAAGATAAAGGAGAAAGAAGACTCAGTGTACTTTAGAACATGGGAAAATTTTTATCAATGTCTAGAAAAACGAGTCAGAGAGAAAGGAATGTGATATGTAATTTTGAATTTATATCAGTAAGAAGGCTATTGAGTGATGAATCAACATATTGTTTATGATAATTAACTATATCTATTATTGTTAGTTAAATAATGCTGATGTGGCCATCAATGAAATTGAGTTTGACACCCGTTCTAGAGTGTGCAGAAATGGATAGATTGACTTTAAAGATAAAGGAGAAATACTCAGTGTACTTTAGAACATGGGAAAAATTTTTTATCAATGGCTAGAAAAACGAGTCAGAGAAAGGAATGTGATATGTAATTTTGAATTTATATCAGTAAGAAGGCTATTGAGTGATGAATTAACATATTGTTTATGATAATTAACTATATCTATTATTGTTAAATAACATTTACCCAGACATTATGCTGTTTGCTAAATATTGAAAATGTTATTTGGAAAAACCCCAACCCCAACCCTAACCCTAATCCCAACCCAACCTTACCCCTAACCCTATAAAAACTAATAAAATCTATACAAAAAAAAAGAATATCTGTCCAGTGGAAAACCTTTCTCCAGACGTTTTAGGTGCTCCAGCACTGGAGGTTTTAAGAATAAATTCGACAGCCATTTGTCCACAATGGTACAAGGTCTCCTGCTTGAGCAGGGAGGTGGACACTAGGAGACGTCTAAGGTCCCTTCCAACTCTGTTATTCTGTTGTCTCTTCTGGGTTGGGAGAACATGAGCTCAGTTCAGTCATGGACCTACCAGGCCTTCAAACTCTCCTGGAAGTCGCCCCGTGGAGCCTCTGAAAATCACCCAAGTGGTTTCCTGCCTTTTTGGAGGCTGCAAGGCCACGATGTTTCCAAGCCTCTGTTGCTCTGGAGCTGCCTCAAATAGGCATTTCGAAAAATGTAAATATTCATTTAACAATTAATTTAAATAACTTAAATATCTTTTGTTATTGATTCTCTAATAATAATAACAACAACAACAATAATAAAGTTGGAAGGGACCTTGGAGGTCATCTAGTCCAACCCCCTGCTCAGGCAGGAAACCCTATACCAAGGGTAGGCAACCTTGGCTCTTTTATGACTTGTGGACTTCAACTCCTGGGAGTCATAAAAAGGCCAAGGTTGCCTACCCCTGCCCTATACCATTTCAGACAAATAGCTGTCCAGTCTCTTCTTAAAAACTTCCAGTGTTGGAGCATTCACCGCTTCTGGAGGCAGGTTGTTCCACTGGTTAATTGTTCTAACTGTCAGGAAGTTTCTCCTTAGTTCTAGGTTGCTTCTCTCCTTGATTAGTCCCAGGTGGGAATGTGGTTGACACGCCAGCACAGTCAAGGTGGGAATTCTGAATTCTTGACCCTCCTTTCAATGCAGGGGTGTCAAACTGCAGGGCAGTGGGCCGGTTGCATGAGGCAAAGACCACACCAGCCCCAGCTCCAACAATGCGAAAAAAGACACGATATGTCGCGACACCCCCATGCTTTAATGGCTCAATTCAACCAGATAAACCAGGGGGGGGGTCTTCAAACCTGGCCCTTTTGTGACTTGTGACTTGTGTGACTTGTGGACTTCAACTCCCAGAATTCCTCAGCCAGCCTTGAAGGGCCAATTCCTCAGCCAGCCTTGAAGGGCCAAGTTTGGAGACCCCTGAAATAAACCTTTTCTTTTCCTAACACTCCCCCCCCTTCATTAAAATGAGGTCAGGCTGTGACAATATCACATTTACAATCTCAATAAATGTTTTTAAAAAGCTACACTTCGCTAACTTTTCAAACTGCACTCGAGGGAAACAGATGTTCGGAGGCCTCCTGCTCAGACGGACCACAGAGAGACCTTCTGAAAGCAACTTCCCCAAAAGCTCCTTCCAGGATCCACCCGGAGCCCCACGGGGAGCCTTGGCCGGGCGAGGAGGGGGCAGATCCAGCCCGGGGAAGGAAGGATCCCCCCTTTGCCCCCCTGGAGGGAAGGGAGGGATCCACTCCCTGCAGGCGACGCCAGAGCCGAATCTCCCCAAGGAAAACCCGGCAAGCCGGAGAGGCGGATCCGCAGCTACCTTTCTCCTGGCGGGGGGGGGGGAAAGCTCTCCTGGCGGGAGGGGCGCCCCAAAGGCCGGAGGGGGGAGAGCAGCCAGACCTGCCCCGAGCGGGATCCAGAAGCCTCTCCCGAGGGATCCGGCGCCGATCCTGCCGGGGCGAAGCGAGACACGTGGAAAGGAAGCGGAGATAACAGCGAGTGGGAGGGTGGAGGCGAGGGCGGGGCTTCTGCTCTCCTCTCGGACTCCGCCCCCGCCTTGCAGCCCCGCCCCTTGGCCGCCTCCTCTCCTCCCTCCCTCCCTCCCCCCACCGTCTGCCTTCCCAGCCGGGACTCCCTGTTCCTCGCCTCCGGGCTTCCTCTGCCCGTGCTGTGCCCGGGGGGGTGGGGGGGCTGCCTCCTTT